GATCTTCAGACTCTTTCAGTGTTTGGTACTTTTTTAAAATTGGTATTCACATCCACAGTGTCTAACAAATAAAATGGCTCAAATAATTGAGATCCTCTTTCTGCAACCCTTTTTGACAGATCAAGGTAGGAGACAGGTGAGAAGTTTGAAATATTTGAGTGAGTATCTGTAAAGATTGCAAAAATTCCTATCTTTTTGGGTAAATTTTTAAAGCACAATGAATATACATCAGGAAAATGAGTACAAATATTATGTGTATATAATACGCAATTGCAGGGATTAAGCATATAATATATGTACAATTTGCATACATAAAAAAATATGCGATTTGTATGCATATTATATGCTTAATCCCTGCAATTGTGTATTATATACGCATAATATTTGTACCCATTTTCCTGATGCTAGAAGAACAAGGTTTCCTTTTCAACCTTCTTATTAATCAGAGCACAAGGCTTCATCAAATGCAAATAGACATTTAACTGAACTTTCTTGTGTTATCATTCTTTCTTCATCTAAATATTTATTGATACCTTCAGTCATCTTACCATCTGTAGTGCTTTTCATAGGCTCACATGTGATATCAGTCATCCTGCATTCAATATCCTTCCAGAAATTCACCTGTGAATTTTTGCCAGTATGCTCATCAATCCATTCTTTGCAACTCCCCTTGAATTCCTTCAATTTTTGAAAACATGCACATATGTATGCAAGATAGGTGACTAAGACATCCCGTTCATTTCTCAAACTCATGTAATAGTATATCAGCAACATGTGATCTGGATGGATAGCCACTTGATTTGGAGTCATGCAAACAACAATACACTGTCATTTGGTTTTCTGCAAAATTCTTCAATAATTTTGATTTTCCTGTGCCACTGGGATTGAACTAAGGTTGTGTATGGTGGATAATATTCTTTTGACATTTCATATTCACACAAACAATTCTCAATAAAGTTCATAAACCTTTTTGAAAGGTCACTTGGATCTTGAAAAGTTCTATCAAAAGCTTTATGGACAATTTCCTCTTCTTCACTTTCAGTACTATCCACCAACAGCTCTAATATAGAATGTATGAAAAACATTAAATTTCCACTGATTACATTAAATGAGAAACCATCATATAACAGTGCCACACTTGACCAACTTACTTGAATCCATGTCCATTGTCTCTAACTGGTATAAGTATAACAAGTATCAGAAAATAGATGAATAAATTAGATAAATGAATTTTTTATATGGTTCACAAAGAATATATAAAACAGTAAAGGTTTTAATTCTCTTTTCCTGTATAATCTACTATTTCCTCCCTTTCTTTCCATCATCTGGCTAGCAAGAGGTAAAAACCAACACTTCAAAACAGCAATATATATTCACTCAAACAAATAAATAAATAAAATGAAATGAACGCAAAAATAATTATAATTTTTTGTTTAATTTTTTTATGCAATTTGTTCATTACCTTCCCCCCACCAAATTCTACTAATGCATCTTGCAACTTCTCCACCACCTATCTTCCACGTTCTTCACCAGCTTCTCCTCTTTCTCTTCCAGTCTCTTCTTCTCCTCTTTATCATCTTCATCAAGTTCTTTCCTCTTTCTCCTCAACTTCTTCAACAACATTCCATTGTCCTCCCATTCTTCGAATTCCTTCAACTTATTCTCTGCCTTTTCATGGTTTTTAATTGCAATATTTAATTGTTCTTTAATTTCTTTGTACATTGCCATTTAAAAGATTGTAAAATTAATTTTAAAAAAAATTTTTTTTTATTGATTTGTGCATAATTTCAACCAATGATAAATTAGTGGGCACATGACTTGGAATTTATTTTTACGGACAATGATTAATTGACAATCTGTGAATGAATCAGTGAGATGTTGATCATTTTGTTATGAAATTTTGTTGCCAATTATTATTAATAAAATAAGAAATTTCAGTTATTTTTTAATTTTACTGTAACAACATATAAGTTCATTTGATAGGTTTCATTAAAATAAAAATTTTTTTGTTGATAAACCAATAAAAAAAAAGTATAATTTTGGTCAGAATACTTTTTAATGTTGGCTGAAAGTTAAAAAATTCCGAATTTTTATATGTTATTGATTTCTTGAAATCTCGGTGACAAGCATACAAAAGTTTTTGAAGAACACTCCAATCCCTTTAATATTTTGACATATTATTCTATGAGATTTACTTACACATTCATAAAAAGAGCAAGATTTGTAATACAAAAATATTATGATTTATTATTTGTTAAACATTGTCAATTGATGATTTTTTACCATTTTTGCCCCACCGATCCTATGGATCATTAATTAAACAATAAAAAGAAAATTACAATAGAAAAATACATAAAAATATAAGTTAAAAAATCGTCAGACTTCCATGGGAGGACCCAAAGCCATTACCTATTCTTTGGGCACTCAGACAAAAATCCAACTTTCACTATTACTACTACTATTATTAATTTTGATAATATCATTGTTAATATTCATATCTTTGTTGTTTTCATTATCTTTTTTATCTTCACTCTCTACTTCTTTCATCTTTTCTTTCTCAACCCACTGTTGGATTGCTTCTAGGGTTTGTTTTTTGTTGATAGAAATTTTTAACAATAGAAGCAGCAACTTTTTTCTCACCAAATAATTCACGAATTTCCATGGCCATTTTACCAAATGAAAAATTGGGGTTCAACCCAGTTGTTTTGTCAAATAATTGCTTGAAATCCTTTCATATATTTTCTATTTCTTGTGAATATTGTTTATCACTAGTAAGTTTGTCTGATTTATTTTTGAATTGGCTTTTACTTGGTTTTATTTTATTGATTATTTGATCAATTTTTTGATTTATAATAATACAAAATTGATTTCTGTAAGTTTTATCATGAAATAAGAAACCAAGGAATGATCGGCAGTCAAAAAATTATCTATATACTAATACTGTATCATAGTAAAAATCATGTTACATACACTCTACCCTTAAACGGAAAATTTTTTAAATTCGTGTCACCATTAAATGTCACGTGACTCGGAAATTTTATTGCATTTTTGAACATAACTCATAGTGCAGGTCACTTAGTCCCACAACTTTCTGTGCCACGCCACCAACTTTGAGAAAAAATTTCCAATCAAAAATGCAGTAAAAATTTCACAGTCACATGATTTTTGAAAATTGTCAAGTGCTAAATAAATATTAATATATTAAAATTTTTCTTTTACATTCCTATATGGGGGATGCTGCAACATAACCAGACAAAGTGAACATTTGTATTACAAAGAATTCAAGGATTGAAATTTGTAATAGCAATAATAATAGTAATATTACAGAAATCAATACAATGAACATATCTAATTTGTAAACATTTTTTAAAGTATAAGAAATTAATATTAATAAGTATCCTAACCCTCCCCTAGATTTGGATTTTTTTACTTTGATCTGATCAAATAATTTTTGACCAATGTTCACAGTATACATATTATTATGAAATTTTTAATAACATGAAAAAAATTTTTTTTTTTGATTATTTTTATTTAAGAGCTTATCTCAATGAGTAACTAAATCACACCAATTTAGTACTTTTCCATGGATCCAATGTCTTAGAATATTAAATATCAAACAAGTATCAGTGATTAAATCACTTTGAAAATATCCTTCATTAGTGGCACAATAGAAGATCCATTTCATTCCATCTGTTATATAGATGCTGGTCACAATTCTTGGTGATGGTTGCAACCATATTTGCGACATATAAAAATGGTTTGCAACACCTGGTTGCAACCACCTTTGTGACCACTTTGGTTTCCTTTTTTGAATTGTGACATGGAACACTAATCTGTTAAAACTACATGTGCATTTTGATTGCTGGTGATTAAATCAAATGATGAGATGCATGAAATATAAATCTATGAACAAAAAAAAAATAAAAAAATAAACTCACTTTTTATCTTATTTTTTAATAATGTTATCAACTCTGCAAGTGTTTGTGCCTCCCCAGTATCAATTCTCCCTCCATGTTTGGCTTCAATAATGGTGAACAATGCATGTTTTTTAGGTTTACTAGTGCGAGCATGCAATCCGAGTTTCCTAATTAATAAGTTATTTATAGCTCAACACACAGCCTACCTGCTGACTTACAGTTGATTCTATTGTTTGACACACAGCCTACTCAATGACTTATGGTCAATTTCCTTATTTATATATATATGACACACAGCCTTCTCACTGACTTACAGTCAAAGATTAACTTTTATCCTCCTGGATAAAAGGGTCCCTAGGTTCTGTATATATATGTAATTATATCCCAAAGGCATCCCCTTGAGATGTGTCTCAATAATTAAAATGTTGGTTATTTGCTATGGGTAGCAAAGGTTCCCCTTTGTGGTTTATTAATTAATTAGAGATTTATTATTTTAGGGTAAAATATGTTGTGTTTTATTAGTGATAATAGTATTATTATTACAGATGTGTTAGGAAGTATTAATTATTAGATCAATATTTAAAAGATTGTTATGAACATGATGATCTGACTTGGTCTAAAACCAAGTCTTTTTATACCTCTTGGGGTATTACAAATAACATGACTTTTACTCTATTTTGTCCAATAAACTATGCTTATTAATGTAAAATAAATATTTGGGTCAACTGAGCATTACAAATAATAATTAATAATTTAAAGTAAATATTTACATCAGCTGAATAGGTTCTTGAAATATAAATATAGAAATATGAATATGAATAATTGTACGTGTGATACTGCGCAAACTGTGGCGCAATAGTTTCACAAAATATAATATTAAAAATAAAAATAGAAATGATTTCATTATCACGTGACTTCTACAGCAATTTGGTTTGTTGGATCGGAAACGTGGGACCTCTATGTCGGTCCTTATTTTACTATCTCACAGTATCCATAATATATTTTTTTTGATACAATTTGTAGAATTATAAAAATTATAAAATATCAATTGATATAGCTACTTTTACAACAATATATCTTTACTTATTCATTCAATAAAATTCCTGTTGAGATTAAAAGTCTCTTCACATAAGCTATATTATATTCCTTTGCAGGATGTAATGTTATATCAATTTGTTCCAATAATGGCATGTGAGATTTTCGTAAACTTTGCAGGGAGTCAATTACCTTGTTACCTAGTATATGTAAGAAGGGATAAACTTTCACATCAAGCCCATCAATTACAGCATAATATTGGCGGTGTGGCACAGTATTGCTTTGTGAACAAGTGGATTTGCCATAACAAGGTTGGAAAATGTTTGCATTTGGCTTACCAAGATCCATAAACAATGTTATATAAGGAGGATAGTTCAAGAGACTGCTTTCATTGTGATTTTTGAAAAATAGCCAATCTTTAAGCTTACTTGTGGCTGAAGCAGGCCAAAATTTGTCCCTAGTATCACTTTGATAATTTTTTACCTGTATTAAAATATATGACATCTTGCCATTTTTCCAGAATGATGTTGGTAAAATTGGGATCACCAAGTCAACATTTGGTTGAATACATCTTGGAATGATTGCTGCACAACGATACCAAAATTTCAACAATTCATTTGGTGTTTTAAATTCAGACTCAACTGACATGAAATGAGTCATTGAAATCCATCCATTAGCAATCTCAGGTGGCATAGGCTTTGTTGATTCTTTACCAAATATCCTATTCCAATTTGTTTCCCCTATCATTGAAATAAAATAGTCATGAACTGTTACTGGACAACAATAAGGGCTTGTAGTAGTAATCTTTGCAGCTTCCATATCAGAATTCAAGAACACATCCTTTGCCAATGTCAGTAAAAATCGTGCAACAAGTTCACCACACACACTCCCATCAAACATTCCCTTTTTCATTGCATTATCCAATATATCAAGTGTGTTTTCTAGAAATGAATCTTTTAAAAGAATTTCTGTTACTGCATTTGCTAAGATTGGTTCAGAGAGGCACATTACTCCAAGTCTGGATTGATCATCACTCACATGTACACAAATACCCATATTCTTGGCAACCATGTTTGTTGCAGTATGTTGATCAATTGTATGTAGATTGATTGAAATTTTGAATGCTACAAGTGATAGAACCTCTTCAAATGAAAGTTTGTGATATGAATATGCATGGTAATTTCCTGTAAAAAGTTTATCTTGTGCAAACCTTTCTATTTCCCTTCCTGGAATACCTGCATCAAATAATGCCTTCCATAATGGACGTCCATATACTATGATATTAGCAAAATCAAACAACTTTACTACCTTATCAGCAGAAACCTCCTGTATTTTATGTATAAGTTCATCAAGTGTGGGTGCATATATGTCAAAGGTAGGAAATGCAAAGAATGGTGGAAACTTCTTCCAAGATTCTTGTTGCTCTTGAGGTCGTAATGAAGGATCAATACCAAGAGGCAGTGAAAATTTGATAAGTTTGATGTAGTATCAGAAAATAAAGCAAAAAATCCCAATGGAAGACTCCAAAGACCACGTCATACACCAGTAAAGACTGGATTAACTTCATGTTCACCCTCAATGTTAATCATTGTCTGTGCTTCATCAAAAGCAAAGAGCACACTCACATTACGAATAGTGTCCATTGTAAAAGCTTCATGAATGTATTCAAATTTGTCATTCAAAAGTTTATGCATTTTCCATTCAATGTCAACATATGTTTCCTTCTCATATTGGCTAAAATAATCTTTTGAATACTCTTCTTCTTGTTTGGTCCAAAGACCTATATCAAACTGCTTTGCTTCACTCAATGCATCTTCACCCCAAAGCATGGCTATCACTCGTTTCACCTCTTGTCTAACCTTTTGTATATCTTGTATGGAACATAAATGTTCTAACAATACATAGACAAAATACACTAGGCGTATTTGAAATATCTTTTCAACATCATATGTGGAGTTTGAATAAGTTGAATGTGTTATAGTAAAATAATTATGCAATTTGGGATGTCCGCAAGGATAAGAACCAGATCTAGGATTGTTCACATTAATATAAAAAACATAAAAGTCTCCAGTTTCTGCAAATCTGTGTAGCATGCGACTTTTTCCAATTCCTGAACTTTGAAACATTGTACAATATGGGGCATAATAGAGCTTTTGATGTTCACGCCATTCCTTTCCACATGCTTCTAAATAACCCTCAAACCCTTTCAGTAAACCATAATCTTTGTATTCTCTCCCAAATGCACGTACAACAGCATTAACAACACTATCATTAACATGTTGGCATTTTGGGAGTAGAACTAAATGAAAAACATAATGAATGAATGAATAAATGGAAATAATTTTTTGTATATTTTATTATGCAATTTGTTCATTACCTTTCTCTTTGTCTAACTCCTTCCTTAACAACTCCCTGCACTTCCTTACTTCTTCTCCCCATTCTTTCTTCTCTCCCTCCAATCCCTCTTCTTTTCTTTCTAAATTCTCTTGTTCACCTATGTAATTTTCTTCTGCACCTCTCCTCAACTTTTCCAGTCTCTCCAACTTCCCTTTTACTTCTTCATATTCTTTTTCTGCCTCTTTTAACTGTTTCTTAACATGTTCGATCGTTGTCATTTTTGAAATTTAAAATTAGAAAAAAATTTTTTTATTGATTTAGATTGAACTAATTATTTCTTATTCTATGCATAATTTCGACCAATAATAAATTAGTGGGCACATGGCTTGGAATTTATTTTTACGGACAAAGATTAAGGGTAGGTAAATCACGTGTCAATTTATATGTAGATCCGGGCTCAAAAATCCAAATTTATGCACGTTACATAGATAAGTTACGCGAAACGCGTCTAAACACTTTCGAAATTTTGTTGCATGTAAACACAAAACCCCTTTAATTTTTTGTAAAATTTCAAACAAAATTAATTAGTAAAGATTTATAAAATTCTTAAAATTCTTCAAAAAAAGTTGTCAATCCCATTACAAAAGTATACAACCTATAGTAAAAATTACTCATTCTGAAATAAATAAATAATTTTAATTAATTTAAAGCAAATTTTTTACTAGCTTAATGATAGTTTCTTATTGTTTAGTAAAACTATCTTATTAATAAAATATTTTTTATATTTAGCATTTGAAAATGAAAAATTGGTATAAATCATTAACAGAAAATAATATTAATTATAAATTATTTTATCAAAAAGATCAAAATATTTTTGTTTGTGATGATTCATATCAACTGAACACCATGGAAGCACATCAAGATTTATATAGCTCATATATCCTGTAGATAAAAACTCCTATAGACATGGAATCTATATCATTTACTCGCCCAACATTTTTCTGAATGTTCATAAAAAAAAAAATCAAAAAAAGAAATTAATTATGATCAAGTGATTGAAAAAATTGGTGAAAATATCATTGGATGATCTATAATATATTGTGCAGAATTTGTGAAGAACTTAAGACACATGTTGTGAATAAAATTAACAATTGTGAAGTGGATATATTTAATGGCAATTTAACAGTAGAAGAGAAAAATTTAATGTTATTATTTTTTTGTAAAATATATATAATAATAAATCGTTATATTTTTATTATTATTTGTTATTAGGAAATTTTCATGATCAATTTCAGAAACCGGCAGTCAAAAATTTTGAGCCACAGATTACTATGATCATAATCACATGATTTACCCTACCCTTAAATGACAAAAAGAAAATTGTTTTTATTTTAATTCAACTAACAATAGAAAAATATAAGTTAAAAATTGACAGAGTACTTGCATGGGAGGAAAATACTTGGACCCAAAGCCATTGTGAGTATTACCTATTCTTTTGGCACTCTGACAAAAATTTAACCTTCACTATTATTACCAATATTTATATTTTTATTGTTTTTATTATCTTCCATAATCTTCACTCTCCACCTCTTACTTCTTTTATCTGTTAACCCACTGTTGAATTGCTTTTATCGTTATTCTTCTAGGATTTGTTTTTCATTGGTAGAAGTTTTTCATTGTGGAAGCAGCAACACCTTTTCCCTCTGCAAGTAGTTTAAGAATTTCAATAGCCATTTTGCTGAATGAAAAATTTGGATTCAATCCAATCTTTTTACCAAATAATTGCTTGAAATCCTTCATGGATTTTTGATCACTTGTGAATATTTTTATTGCCAGTAAGTTTGTTTATTTTATTTTCGAATTGGCTTTTCTATTTTATTGATTATTTGATTGATTTTTTGACTTATAATAAAGTTGATTTTTGTAAGTTTTATAGAAAAGTAAGAAACCAAGCAAGAATTCAATTAACAGTTCACAGTTGAAAGTAAGCATTGTTTTAAATGTAATTGCGAATGAAAATATTATAAATATTTATTGATTATTTTTTTTTAAATTTTGTTTTAACAATGATTATTGAAGGATTTGTTTTTTGCCTGAAAAATATGTGAACTGGTGATTTTTTATAATGTTCCAACATAAGGTGGAATTATTTGCCTTGTTTGATGTCAATCAGAGAAAAACAAAGATTTGTAAAACATATCCTTGAATGTAGAATTCATTCAAACAAATTTTTTTATTGATGTGATATGACAATCATTAATTGACTATTTTTCTTTATTTATCTTCTTTATTAAAAAGACTAATGATTATACATGCAGCCCAAAGTATTTTGACACTGTCATAAAGGGGGTTACACATGTAGTAAAGGGGTGTTACACTTATGTTTTTAATAGTGAATGCCGTAATTAATTTCTACTTTCTACCATCAAAATTGGAATAATTTAAAATCACCAAACCAATTTGGGCTGCATGTATACTAATGATAAATATTACACAACAATACTAAGACCAAGAATAATAAAAATTTTGATTTTTCTTTGCAAAAAGACAAAGGGTTGCTTGTATGTGTATCTTTATTTGCTTTCTTAAACCTGTAATTCTTGGTAACACTAATATTCACTTTGTCTAGTTTTGTTGCAGTATGCCCCAATTAATGTTTTTGATAGTCCAAAGTCAATCATATTTATACACTTTCAAATTTTCTTTGTTTTTAAAAATATAGGAAATTGAAATTTGCATGCATACTTTACTAATTTTAAAATAAAAAATCAGTTTTACTATTTTAGTATAATTAACACTAAACAATGATTTTCTTTAGTGTTTTCCTAGAAATAACAATAATTCTCTTTTATTTATTTATTTGTCAATTTTAGTCTGATCAATAAATCTTGGATTATTATTGTTATAAATAGTAATGTCACCAATTATTGTTTGGGAGAGCATGTTAATTGATGATAACAATATAAAATTTAAGATTATGTGGATCAGAATGAATTGGCTACTAACGAATTAGTTTTATTAGCAAATAATTTTGATTTAGTAATTTAAGAAAAATGTTTCATTTATTAACTTATTTCTAAGTTAACTTTATTATAAAACTTTAAGACAAAGTTATTTTACAAGCAAGTCGGATTGGAGCTTCTTTCATATAATTAATTAATTAATAACAACTTCATTGAAAACTAGCATTCTAGCACTTTAATTGCAACATAACATTATACGATGCTAATTTCTAAATAAAGTTAACTAATTTCAACATTATACAAATAAAAATAAAAATATAATACAAATAAAATAGCAAAAATGTAAATAAATTTGAATAAAAATAAAATAAGAAATGAGTCAAATGTTATAAATAAATACATCAGATGAGTTTACAAGGTCATAAGATATATATGGCGCAACGTGAGGCGCAGCGTTTCACTGAAATATATAAAAATAGATTTGATAATCATCCCGTGACTTGTCACATTAAGTTGGTTTAATTGATCGTGATAATGTAGGACTCTAAGTCGGTCCATATTTTACTATCTCACAATATAAAAACAATATTTCAAAAAATAAAGGAAATTATGATGATAAATATGATTATGAATAGCAGGTATAACTTTTTTAGGTTTTATAATTACCACATTAAAAGAATTAAAAGAAAAAAATAAATCAATATTGCAATAATGAGAATAAAAAGCTTGTATTTTTGATTTTTATTTGGTTTGTGACTAAATCTAACAATGAGATTGAGAATATCAACATATCTAAAGCCAAAATTTTCTGAAAGACTATACAATATTTTCCATTATATAATTCTTAGTGGAAAAAAAATACCAGTTTTCAAGTTTGATTTTTCTTTCATTGTTTTCCTAATATAGTCATTTGAAAATTAAAATCATCTAATTTAATATTAAGATCACAAACCACTATAACCAGTGTGTAAATTTCAGTGTGTAGCTAATGCAGATTTCTACAAATTTAGAAACTATCTGCAGAAAACTGCTAATGTACAATGTTACACCCGCACATTCCGCACATTGAATTTTATACACTGACTATAACCATTACTATTACCAAGTATGATTGTAACATTTAGCAACAAAATATCTTGTTGCAGTATACCCATATTATGTTAACATCATCAGAAAAACAATATATTTGTCAAAAAGAAAATTCATTAAATTTTTTTTTGTTTGTTAGGCCATTGAAATTTATATTAATTTTACAATTGTTTTGTACCTAGTTTAATGGTATGAATAAAGAAAATTATCTGAAAGTATTAATTGAGAATTTTGTCCTTTCCTTTACTTGTTGGAACATGAATTAAAAAATCACATCTACAATAGAACATGGGCATTTATATGAAGATGTGAGATTCGTGATCCATAAAATTAAAATTTGAATGAAAGCAATTGATTAATTGATTAATTAATTAATTAACACATATTTATATTGTATATGTATATGTATATGTACTCTTAAAAGAAATCAATGATTTATAGTTAACTAATGCAAAATGCGAAATGTAAAATTGTTTTACAAGATAGATAAATGTTCAATTCTATCTTCAATTTTATCTCATCTTTAGAAAATCTTTAGCACAGAACTTGATGAAAGTAATACAAGGGATATCATTTGCAATATGGTGCAAGTCACCTAGTCCTGCAACTTGCTGCGCCTCGTGGCCAAATTTGGGAAAAATATCAAAACTCAGAATTGTAAGTTATGCTCAAAAATGCAATAAAATTTTATATCACGTGACCTTTAATGGTGATACAAATTAAAAAAAATAT